CTGGTGTCTCACATCCCTGTGGCAGATTCCTGCTCCTTCCTGTGGCATCAGGGCTGATGATAGTCCCCTGCGGCAGGGTTGTGCCCACCCCTGTGGCATCAGGGCTGGTGCCAGCCCCCATGGAGGGGTCATATCCATGCCCATGGCATCGGGCCCCCGTGTGACCTTTCTTCTGTGCTCCAGGACCTGCCCAACGCCATGAACGCAGCGGAGATCACGGACAAGCTGGGGCTGCACTCCCTGCGCCACCGTAACTGGTACATCCAGGCCACCTGTGCCACCAGCGGGGACGGGCTCTACGAGGGCCTCGACTGGCTCGCCAACCAGCTCAAGAACAAGAAGTGAGGGGGGGGCCCCTTGTGCCCCCCCGGCCCCCCCTGGGCCGTGCCAGGGCCCCCCCCGGCCGCCCCCTCCCTGCCCCGGTTGGGTTTTGCTTTCTTCTGGCACCGGTTGCTGTGGGGTTTTTCGCCTTTTTTGGGGTCCCCCTGGTTCCCCTCGGATCTCGTGTGTGCGTGCGTGGAATTAGAGCTCTATATAACGCCCAGGGGGGCAGGGGCAGAGCCCCGGGAAGGTGGGATGGGGGCTGCCCTGCCCGGGGGGGGGCTGGGGACACACCCCGTCCCCGTGCATGTCCCTGCACCCCTCGCCTTCCTCTGGACCAAATGTGGGGGCAGCGGGGCCATGGCGGGGGAWTTGGGACTACACACCTCCCCCTCTCTCCCAGCACCCCCTCCCGGCCCCACGTGCCCCCTACCCGGGGGTCCCACACGTCCCCGGCCCCCCCATGTCACTTTGAGGCAGGTCTCCTCCCCGCAGCGTGACCCCTGCAGAGGGGGGGGCAGGGGGCTGCCAGGACCCCTGTGGTCCCCCTGGCCGTGCCCCCCACCTCGCCCTGGCCGCCTGCCCCCCTTCCCCCCCATGCCAGCATAGTGATTGTATGTCCCTGCCCCTCACGGACGGACGGACGGTGTCCCCCCCACCCCGTACTGTGCCCCCCTCCCCACCTCCCCAGCACCGTATTTATACCCCCGGTCTGTGCTTGGTGTGACGTGTCGCTGCGGCTCTGCCCTGTCCAGGGACGTGTGTTCTCACCCCCCACTCCTCCTCCTCCCCAGCCCCCTGCGCCTGAGACGGTGGGTGACCTCCCCTGACCCCCCCCTTGGATATTAAACATGTTTTATGTAGCGCTGTCCCTCGTCTCTTCTTCCGCAGCCCCTCCCCGGTGTGGGGGTCCCGCGGAGGGGACGGTGATGGACAGCCCCGGGCTGGCTTTAATTAGAAAGAGCTTAACGGGGCGGGAGGGGTTGAGGTGGGGCTGGCAGGGGGTGAGGGCCCCCCCCCCCCCGCTTCCCAGGCTCATCTTTAGGGGAATATTGGATGAAATGGTAAATCCCATTAGTGCTAATCCCGACTGGGGCGTGGGGACGGTGCCATTGCTGGGATGGGCGCGAGTGGGACTCAGACCCCCCCTCCCCCTGTGCCATCCCTACCCCGTGTCACCCCCCCTGCATGGGTTAAGGGGGACTGAGTCGCATTTGGAGCCAGCACTGCCATCCCATCCCCGTGTCCCCTCTGGATTGGTGGCTGGGGAGCTGTTGGTGACACTGGGGGGCTGTGCTGGGGGGATCCGGGCTCTGTGGTGGGTGGGAGCTGCAGCACCAGTGTCTGGAATGGGGGTACCAGAGCTCCCCGGGGGGCTGGAGATTGTGGAGATGACATGGGGGGCTACAGTTTGGATGACCCGGGCCACCCGATGGGCTGGGGGCTGTGGAGATGACATGGGGGGGGCTTCAGTGTGGCTGACCAGAGCTCCCCAGGGGGCTGGGGGCCGTGGAGATGACATTGGGGGGCTTCAATGTGGGTGACCAGAGCTCCCCGGTGGACTGGGTTCCATGAAGATGACATGGGTGGGCTACAGTGTGGGTGACCAGAGCTCCCCAGTGGGCTGGGGGCTGTGGAGATGACATGGGGGGGCTTCAGTGTTGGCTACCCGGTGGGCTGGGGACCGTGGAGGTGACATGGGGGGGCTTCAGTGAGGGTGACCGGGGCTCCCCAGTGGGCTGGGGACCGTGGAGATGACATGGGGGGGCTTCAGTGTGGGTGACCTGGGCTACCCGGAGGTAGGGAGCAGCGGAGATGGTACCGGGGAGCCGAAATGCGGATGCCCGGGGCTCTGCGAGCAGCGTAGTGGCGTTGAGGGGCTGCAGCGTGGCTGACCGGGGCTCCCCGGTGGGTGGGAGCAGCGGAGCCGGCACCGACGCGTTCCCACCGGCTGGACCGACGGCTTTGTGTGGCGAGGGCTGACCCGGCGGCCCTAATCCCATTAGCGCCCCGGGCCCAGCCGCCAGCCCGGCTTCCCCACCTCTCGGCAACCGAGGCTGGTATGTGGGTGCGCCGGTGGGGCCGGCGTGCCGATGCCGTCGTCCGGGAGCTGCACCGGGGCCACCACCGGCGTCAACGTGGTCACCATCCCGGAGCTGCACCGGGGCCGGTGACACCAGTGCCGGTACCGGGTGACAGATCCGGGCTGCGCACCGTGTGACCCCGACAAACCGGGGCGATTCCCAAAGGGCTGGGTGTCCCCAGGCTCAGGGATGGGAGGTTCTGGGGCAGGTYCGGTCCCACCGGGCTCCTGTCGGTCCCCCGGTGCGGGCTCGSGTTTCGGTTTCCCTTGTCCTGCACAGCCGAGACTGGAAGTGCTGCTGAAGTGCCAGGAGAAGGAATGACCCGCACCCGCGGCGCGCTGGAGAAGGTTTCTGGGCTCATGTGGAAGGGATCCTGGGCCCCGGTGGGTGCCGGTTTCCCCGGGCTGTGCTGCCGCCTGCTGGCACCGGCAACGCCAGGACACCGGRGGCAGCACCCAACCGGTGCCTGGCACGAATCCCCCGGCCCGGACCCCCGCCCAGACCCTCCGCCTTGACCCCCGCTCTGGCCCTCACCCGGAGCCCCCGCTCGGTGCGGGCTGAACCCGCCGGGACAGTCCCCGGTTGGGGTCGGACCGGGCTGGGTCCCCACGGGGGCACGCGTGGCACCGGGCACCGGTGAAGCCGCCGGTCCCGGGAATCCTCTGTCCCGCAACTCCGCTGCGGCCTGGAGTAGCTGCGGGCGCCCGTCCCGGGGCCGGTCTCGGTGTGGGGGCGGTCCCGGGGGCGGTGCCCGAGGTGGAGGGGCGGTCCCGGTCCCGGTCCCCGTTCCTCCGCCACCAGCCCGGCCATGCCGTTCCCCGCCGCGCTGCTGTTCCTGGCACTGCTGCTGCCGCCGCTGCCGCTCTCCCGCGCCGCCGAGAGCGAAACCGAAACCGGCGCTCGGGAGCTGCGACTGGAGACGATCGTGAGCCTGAGGGACCGGGGGAAACGGGGCTGCGCGGGAGGCACCGGGAACCGGGGACCCACGCGGCCCCCTTGGGCAGGGAGCTGAGACCGGGGCGGGACCGGCGTGGAACGGGGGCACCGGCGGGACACGGGACACCGGAGGGATGGTGTTGCTCGGGGGGCACCGGGGAGCCCGGCCTGGCACGGGGGGGGTGGCGCACCGGGAGGACCGGGCTGCGGCAGAGAATGGGGGGAGCTACGGGGTACCGGGAGGACCGGGCTGCGATGGGGGGAGGCACCGGGAGGACCGGGGGCTGGCGGAGGAACGCGGCGCACGGAAAACGGGAGATCCGGATGGGAGTTCGGCTCTCGGGGTGCTCGGGGGACCCGCGGGCACGGGGGGTGCGTGGACCCCGAGGAGAGGGGGCCCCGTCCCGGCCCCCCGTGACCTCCCCGTTGCAGGTAGCCCCTCCCGAGGGCTGCACGGAGCTGTCGGCGACGGGGGACACGGTGCACATCCACTACACGGTGCGGGCGGGCGGCGGGAGGAACACGTCAGCACTGAGCTCCGGCGGGCGGGGCGGGGGGCAGCGGCACCGGCACCGGCACCGGCGGGGGAGCCTCAGCCGGCACCGGGGCGGCACCGGGGCGGTACCGGGGGGTGGTACCGGGGTGGGCAATGGGGCGGTACCGGGGTGGGCCGTGGGGTGATACGGTGGAGGAACCGGAGGGACAGTAGGGGTGGCACCGGGGCGGGCAGAAGGACGGTGCTGGGATGGGCAAGGGGATGGTGCCAAGCTGGCACTGGGACTGACATGGGGACAGCCCCGGGTTGGGCTCTGGGTGGCACCTGGAGTGGCAACACTGGTGGCACTGGGGCTGGCATGGGAGAACCCCAGTGTGGGCATGGTTGGTGCTGGGATAAACCCGAGGATTACCTTGGGATGGCACCACTGGGAGTGGTCTCCCAAAGTGGCATGGAGTGTTCTGGGACTGGGATCAGCACAGGAGGGGGCACTGGGACTGGGATCAGTACAGGGATGGCACGCGGGGGCACTGGGACTGGGATCAGCACAGGAGGGGGCACTGGGACTGGGATCAGTACAGGAGGGGTCACTGGGACTGGGATCAGCACAGGGATGGCACGGGGGGGCACTGGGACTGCGATCAGCACCAGAGCAGCACTGGGAACACGCTGGCATCCACACAGAGGAAGTGCCAGGCTGTGTCCCTGGGGTGACAGTGGCAGTGACTGTGGCCATGTCCCCAACAGGGCACCTTGGAGGATGGTCGGATCATCGACTCCTCACTGAGCAGGGACCCTCTCCAGGTGGAGTTGGGCAAGCACCAAGTCATTCCTGGTGAGTGAAGGGCTCAGGGAGAGCGGGGCTGGGGGCAACCAGGATAATCCCAACCAGCCCCACTCATCCCCACCCCACTCTGCTACAGGCCTGGAGCAGAGTCTGCTGGACATGTGYGTGGGGTAAGTGCAGATGGGGGACACCGGGGTGGGCAGTGTCCCCCCTGCAGTGTCCCCACCCCAATTTATGGCACCACYGTTCTTGCTATGGCAGGGAGAAGCGCAGAGCCATCATTCCCCCTCATTTAGCCTACGGCAAGAGGGGCTCCCCTCCCAATATCCCAGGTGAGAACAACTCTCAGGGTCCCCGTGGGGTCTCTGTGGGGTCTCTGTGGGGTCCCYGCTCAGGCTGTGCCCCCCCYTTGCAGGTGATGCWGTGCTGAGGTTCGAGGTGGAGCTGGTGGGGTTGTCCCGAGCCAGTTATTGGCAGAAAGTGGTGAACGAGGTGGTGCCACTGCTGTGCCTGGGGCTGGTGCCGGCGCTGCTGGGGCTCATTGGGTTCCACCTGTACCGTAAGGCCAGCAGCCCCAAGCTCTCCAAGAAAAAGCAGAAGGAGGAGAAGAGGAACAAAGCCAAAAAGAAATAAAATCATCTGTGGCTGCCCTGTGGCTGCTTTTCCTGGAGATGATGGGGACAGAGTAGTGGGAAGGGGCTGTGCACCCATCAGCTCCCTGCCTGCTCCAGGGCCTTGATGGGTTGTGTCAGATCTGAACGGGAGGTAACAAATCCCAGAAATAAGACCCTGGAGCACATTTGCAGGCAGTTTTGCTCTTTTAAGGCATATCCAGGCAGTGACAAGCACCAGGCAGGTCCCTGATCTGCCAGRGAGCCTCAGCTGGAGCCAGGAATGGGGTGGCTCTTGGCGTGTTCCATGTCCTGTTGTCCCTGAGCACAGCTCCCCYACTCCCACCCCCACAATGTGGGGCTCATTTTTTGGGACGTTGGCCTTGCTTGGTGGTGAGGAGGGGGTGGGGGTCTCTGACCACCTTCAGGCTGAGTGCAGCCCCTTGTAGGTACTGCTGGAGCAGCTCCCGMAGGTGCTGGTTCCTGTTGGCCAGGGCCACCCGTGCCCGCTCCAGCGCCTTCTCCTCCAGCTTCACCTTGTTGAAACGCTGCCAGAATCGCTCCAGCCCCACGTAATCCTGYATGATCTGGGGGAGGGAGGCAGCAGAAAGAGCTGGGGGTCTCCAACCTGCCCCAARCATCAGCTGGGTGATCCCCAGGGCKGAATCACTCTGGRATCCCTGTTCCCTCCCCCCATTCCCTTCCCCTGTGGCGGTGCCTCCTCACCTCTGCCAGGGGCTCTGTGGGGGTCTCCTCCAGGACCCTGCRGGCATCTTCCTGCTCCCACTCAGCCAGTGAGGAGCGGTAGAAGGGCACCACCTTCTCCTCTTCTGTCTCCAGCCTGCGGCACATCTCGGCCAGGCGCAGGATTCGCTGGGCCTGGGGTGGGGGGACGTCAGGAAATGCCAGCAGGACGCTGGGCATGGGAACATCCCCACTCAGCTCTGCCCAACTCACCTTTTCCACCAGCTGCTGCAGTGCCTTGAGGGTGCCATTGCACTGGCAGATGAGGGTGACCAGGTGGCTGTGAGCCATGGCCCCGGCCTGGGTCATCTCACTGCGGAGTTTGTAGAGTTTGTGGAGGACTTGTTCCTTCTCCTCCCGCACGCGCTGGATGTGCTCCTCGCTCTCCCGCAGGTGAGCYGCGATCTGGCTTTTAGTGGCTGCAACTTTTTCCTGGTGAAACAGCAGGTTGGGATATTGGGGGAAATTTCATCTTGGAAAAGGTGGCTCAGCATTGGAATGGGCTGTTCAGGGCAGTGCTGGAGGGATTGTCTTTAGGAGGGTTCAAAAAATGTGTGGATGTGGCACTTGGGGACAGCGTTTAGTGGTGGCCTTGGGAGCTCTTGAACAGTTGGAGCTGATGGTCTTAGAGACTTTTCCAACCTCAAAAATTCCACAATTTCACAGCTCAGGCACTGCTCCACAGTTGGAGTTGATGGTCTTAGAGACTTTTCCAACCTCAAAAATTCCATGATTTGACAGCTTAGGGAACTGCTCCATGAAGTATTGGGGAGTCCCTGCTTAGCCCAGCCCATTATCACCCCTTTGGCAATGCTGGGTTGGATTTGATCGTCTTAGAGGCTTTTCCAAACTCAACAATTTCACAATCCCATGGAAAATGAGTGGAAAATGCGGGTGACCCCCCTCCCAAAATCACCCAGCTCCCTGTCAGAACCTGGAGCTTCTGCAGCTTCTTCGCCTGTGTATCAATCTCCCKGGAACTCTTCTCACACTTCCTCTTSAGCTCCTCGAATTCTATCTTCTTCTTCTCCGTGGCCTCGGCGTAGCTCCGCCGGGCTTTTTGGATCTGGTCCCACAGCCCCTCCAGCCTGGCGACGAGCTGTATCCGGCTGTACTGCTGCTCCTGCCAGCTCTGGGGACACGCAGGTTACACCCCCAAACCTCCCTTCTGCCAGCCCTAAAAGCCCCTCGATGCTCCCCTGTGCCCCTGCCTGGTTTTTGATTTCGTCCCGGGCGCTCTGGAAGTTCAGGATGGCTTCATGGTCGGTATTGGAGTGATCCTGCTCCCTGGCCAGTGCCATGTCCTGCAGGCAGCTGCTTTCCCACTCACCCTGCTCCAGAATGGCCTTTCTGTGGGGACACACARCGGGGAAAAGGGGTTCTCTCCCTGACAGAAGAGCTGTGGGTGTCCTGATGGAGCCAGGAGAGGCTCAGCTCCATCCCATGGTGAGAGGAGAACCCATGGGTGCCACTGCTGCCCCATTCCCCTTCTCCCCCTGATATTCCACACCTCTCAACCTCAAACTCGGCTTTCAGGGCGGCCACCCGGGTATTAAACCCCTCCTCCAGGTAGCTCAGGCGGCAGAGCTGGAGCTCCAGCAGTCGATCCGTGAGGTGCAGGTGGCTGCGCAGAGCTCGGTTCTGCTGTTCATCCGCCTCCTCCAGGTCCCTGACCARCCCCTGCACAATTTTGAGAGGTCACAGGTGTTCCCTGCTCCCTTCCCCGGCCTCACTGTCCTCGCAGTCACCTCAATGACGCCATCCTTGCAGTCCATGACCCGTGTGAAGGTCTCGCTGAGGATCTCGATGTCCCGGCGCAGCTCCTCGTCCTTGGTTTTGCGCATCGCCAAGCGCCAGAGCGTGCGGACCTTGTTCAGACCCCATGTGCTGCTCTGCTCCTCCCGGGATAATTTCTCCTGTGGGGGGGCCGTGGGAGGTGAGAAATGGGGTTGGGGTGGAGGGCTCTGGTGCTATGGGGTGCAGCAGAACGGGTGCCATGGTGGGGGTGATGGGAGCATTTGCTGGGTGAAGTTGGTTTGTGGGATTTTGGAGGCTGCAATGGGAGGGTCGCTGCAGCGGGGTCCCAGACCTGCAGGAAGCGAGCGAGGAGTTCCCGCTTGGTTTTGGCCGCCTCCTCCTCGGCCAGCGCTTGTCTCTGCAGCAGCAGCAGCTCGGCCTCGGCCGCCGTGGGGGCGAAGGGACTGGACTCCGCCATAGCTGGAGGAGGGGACATGGCAGGAAGGCTTGGGGGATGC